AGAACCATATCTGCCTGCAAACGAATGCAAACCAAAGCAGAGGAATAAACAGCACAGTAGAATATTATTACCTCTCTTTGATTTATAGTATATATTCTAAAAGATGCAGTTCCTTGAAGATATTAAGTGCCAATGTTCTCTTTACTATTTTTATATTTTTATCCAATAACATTATTTTGAAGCAATCCTTTGATTGAGCTAGTCTATGCACAAAGCGTGCACATTATATTTCAATCAGTAAACTTTCTGTGAGCTGCAATTTTTTGATGTGAATATATGTATAAATATAGCAAAACATTGTCCAGGAAATGTACTCTGATTAGTGGGGAAGAAAAGTATATGGGTGATTAGATGCTCTTCTTATTTCTCCAAGTTTAAGAAATGGAGCCATGTTCTTCATTTCCTGAGTTTACATTCAGCAAGTTTTACTGGGGGAGAGAAGATTTGGTAAACAGGCTTTGGGAAGAGTGATTTTATAAGCTGTTTATGCTGGACCTGCTGTAACTTAAAACAGTGGTTTCAAAGTTTGCTTTAGTTAATTTGAGCAAATTCTTAAGCCTTTTAAATGATTTTTTTTAAGCAAATAGAATTCTGCTGGTAATATACTTTCTTTTTCACCCTTCATAAAAACAGGTTTTCATGGGTCAAGCTTAAGAAAACTCACTGGGTTAATTCCTCTAGGGACTCCTTGTGACCAAATGCAGGCTCAGCTGTGTTTCAGTGGGGACTCTTGTCCCCATTCAAACCTCTGAACCAGGACCTCCAAGGAATGGGCAGAAGGGAACATTCAGAAGCTACCCTACCCCAAGGGTCAGTTCCTCTCCTTCATATTCATAAGAATTTTCAGCCTTTGGGCCACTAAATCCACTTCCATTACCATTGCAAGGTTAAAAGAGCACCAGGAAAGCATCCAGGGGACTGCTTCAGTATAGATTTGGTTACACTTTATTTCAGCATGTGACTGCAGCTTGTGTAGACACATATCTGAAGTCAATTTACATAAACTATTTTTGTACTGCTGGCAGTGTGGCTGTGGGGCTGCAAAACTTCTAAGAACTGAGGAACCATTTGGGTGATTTACCCAGGCTGACTTCTTCTTGGGGATATTTATACCAAAAGAAGCCTGATATCAGATTATACACCTGCTAGCATAGTATTCTCTCTCTGAAAGTGATCAAAAGGGAAAAGTACATGAACAAGGTAAGCACAGGAAGTTTCTCTACCACATTACTCAACTGCCTTCAGCAGTTTCTTTTTTAGAGGCTTCTTAAGTCAGAAGTGATTTTAGTGGATTCCCACCATGGGTTTTTCCGGTCACTTATTCAAGTCATGTCAAGTTCTGACATTTAGCACATCCCATGTCAATGAGTTCTACAGTTTCTCTACATTGTGTAAGGAAGATTACTTCATCTTACTGACTTGGCATTTCTTTTCCTAGAATGTAACTCTATGTCCCCTGCTCTTGCATGAGAAACACATGAGTGAATAATTATTTCTTATTTTCGTTGCTTAGTCATGATTCTGGGCTCCCTAAAAATACCTTTTGACTGCCTCATCATCTTTCTTTCATGATGAAAATTTTTAGCCTATTTAGTAATTCCTGGCATGGAAATATTTCCATTCCTTGCTACCTTTTCATGTTCCTTTTGCTCCCTTCTTATCGGGGTGCTCAGACACCTTGAGGACTTATGTAAATTAGAAGTGTGGACTTGTAGTTTTTGCTAAGCTTCTGCTTCTGCAGCTGATGCTGTCTTTAAATAGTCAAGTTAATTAGTTTACAATCAATTTGAGAATTTATATTTTAGCTTCAGTCTCATGTTGGCATTTTAACAGAAAAAACACTCAATAAGTTGTATTCCCAGAACCACTAATGAGGTTAAACTCAGGCATGAACTAGTAGTTTGACTGAGGAAGAAGAGGAAGGATAGAGAGAAGAAAAATATTTCATTTTGTCAGAATATGTGGTTTTGTGTATTTATACAAAAATAGAAATGCAGGTGTTGTTAAAGTAACATGGCAGTGCACAATGTGTTCTCTGTTGAATAGCTGTGAAGAAATGAAGAATCTTTTGCAGCAGATGGCTGCTGAATGAGTGCGCTGGCTCAACTTAGGCCATTCTAATGATAATGTCTTCCTCTTTAGGTCTTGAGCTCTCAGGTGCTAGAGGTTTGATGCTAACAGTGCTAATCAAACCAGATTGTGGTTTCCTCTGTAATTCCACTTTGTGTTTCTGAATTAATTGAATTGTCTGAATCAGAGAGGAAAACAGAGTGAACAAAATGGTCAACTCGGTTTCCATTTCCTCAGTGCATTGCCGAAAGCAGCTTGCTGATTATAGCAGAGGCAAATGTTTATTGCTAATCAGTTTACTCTATATGGGGAGGTCTTGTACTAAAATGAAGTATAAAATCAAGGTATAGAAGCATCATAACTCATCTAGCCAAAAGGAGAAAATATTTTAAAGTTTTTTATTGGTGCCATGCTGGCATTTATGCCATTCAAAACTTAGAACTAAACTAAAGTTGCACAGACTCCTCTGTCTTTGCTAATCAGAATTTTGATTAATTTTCTTTGGAAATTTCATTGCATACAGCAATTTTATTTTATGAGATTGTTGAATGTTCCCATAAACCAGCATTTTTCAAACTGTAATTCAATAGTTGTTGCATAGAAATGCCAAAAAACTGATCAGAATCAATGATCTCCTGTAAAATGTTGCCTCAGGTTAGCTGTCAACTAAATTGAATACCCTTGTTAACTATATCCATCTTTGTAACAACTTTTTTTATTGTCACTTGTATTTTTTTCAGGGATGATGCTATGCATTTAAAACATATAATTAGAGATCTATTTAAAACATAGTAAATCTTTGCAAAGCAAATCTGCCAGACACTGCTTTGGATTCCACTTAATTCTGGATCTCTGATGAATCAGCACTGTTTGTCTTTCAGGCTACACTCTCCAGTAAATATTTAGTACCCTGCTGTCTGGACTTAATACAATTTAGTTCATGAAACATCCTTCAGGAACCAGCAGACAGGACACTGCATCAAGATGTTTCTTACTCCATTTCAAGTAGTTCAGTGGTTGCATTTGACTACAATAAAAAAATAAACAAACCAAAGAAATTAACCCAACTGAAGAAAAATAACAAAAAAAAAAAAAAAAAAAAAAAAAAAAAAAAAAACCCAAAAACAAAATAAACAACAAAAAAGCCCCACAAAACACCAAACAACCCCAAAGGCTAGAAAACCCTACCCTCATTTATCTGTGGTGGAGTTTTTAATTTTTATGCAGAAGCTGGCATTGTTTTGTACTACATAGAAAGTTAGGATTTTTGTTTGAGATCCTTGGAAATTGTACTTTGAAATAATGAGATATTCTTAATAGAATCAGGTCTGCAGTCTATTTTTTTCATTGTGGAAACTTGCATTGCTCTTAAATCAATGTTGATTGTTCCTTTATAGCAACAGAGTTTCTGACTCAATGCAAAATAGGGGTTAAAGCCCTTACATTGGTATGTACTTATTATTGGTCAGGAACATGTGGTGTTTCATGTGGGATATTTTGGTGGGAATCATTCATGTACTGGTTAAACTGGACATATTTCTCAAAATAGTTCTTTCTTTTTTTACCTTTTGATTGATAATCTGTAGACATTTTTTATTGTATTGAAATAGGGCAGCATTGTAGAGTGTGCTGTGATATATCCTCTGCTTTGATGACATGAAAATGTGCCTCTCACCAGTCAGACCCAATTAAGCCAGCTGCTGCCCTGAATTGTGGGTTGTGCACAGGAAAGACACGAGAGAGGAGGGTTTTGGCACGAGGGCATATTACAGAGGTGATCACTAGGAGCCAAACCACTGGAATAAAGGCAGAGAGCAGTTGCCACACTGGAGAGGAAAGAAAAGGGAGTTATGCTGGAATGAAGGATGTGGGGCTGGTGGCGAGTAGAAAGATAGAGGAAGTGACAGATTTCTGGGGAGACATGGGCAGTGCTGCCCAAGTTCCCTGTCCTCCTTTCAGCTCTGCCTTTCCCTTGCTCACTGGCAACAAGGAAGGGCAGTGGCAGTGGAAAGCTCTTCTGATGTGGTTCCTTCTGGTGTTTTTCCCAAGCAATTAACCAAAAGGGAGAACCCAAAGGAAGGAGTTTAGGTAGCTGCAAAGTAGGGAAGGGGTGAAGCACAGCGCCTTTTTTGGGTTCCATGTCTCTGCTGAGCTGTCTGTGCACCCCAGTCTGGGGACTGGTGCAACACAACCTCCATTGCTTAAGAAATGTGCATAAGACCATAGCTGTCATTTCAATATTCACTGCTTTATTGCAACTTTCCCAAATAACCATCAGCAGTGAGTAAAGCTAATAAAAAAGATAGTGTTGGTTATATTGCCTGTACTTAAATTTTATCACATTTGTGTTGAGAAAGAGAAGTTCATTTCCTAAATCATTCTGAGAGAGATTGCATGGTCATAGAAGTCAAAGAAAATTTGTTAACTTTGCCGTCTCCCTAAATATCCCTACACATGACTTTGCATATCTTTAAAACACCATTGTACTCACACTGCTGAAATCTTCTTTTGAAGGTGTAGCTTTGTTAACAGATTTGAAAAATAGTGCTACATGCCCATTCTTCTCATTAGAAAAGTTGAAGGATATTTTTTTCTTTTTCTGTATATGTGATTGGTAATCTTCATAGTTTTGTACGGACTACTCAAAGTAATATAGCAATTAAAACATAGTTTACCTAACAAAAGTTCAGGTATATTAAGTAGTGAGACACACTGGTAACTAAAATAAGTCATAACATGTCTATTGTCTCTGTTATTATAAAACTTTATCATTGAAGTTCTGTTGTTCAATAGCATTATAATAAAATCACAAGGATAATGCACAGGCATGCATGATACTTGATATAATTGTAGGAAAATCAATTGAACCAAATGTTCTCCTTGCCTTCATGGTGTCCTCATGGATTTATGTTTCTGTGTCTCATTCCCAGATTTGGAGAGGGTTATTCTGTCAAGGTTTGGCTTAGCAAAGAAATAAGTTATGGAAGAATGATTTTGGACTGTCTACAAATGCATTTTCCTGGAACACAGTTTAAGGTACAGATAAAACTCCAAATTGTAGTATATGGCAGGGTTAATTTGGGGCTTGTAAGAACAGTATGTACATGTTTGGATATTTACATGTTTGGATATATTTATCTTGGGAAAAGTACATATTAATATCTGTTTTATTTTTCTATTAAGCAATTCATAAAAAATTGACTTGTGATGATGGTTGAATCAACTCCAAACAGGAACTTAGGCAATGTAAATAAAAAGGCCTTTTCTCTGACTGAAAATTTCCTTTTGCTTTTATTATTGAAGTTTAACTCAAATCTGTGTTCACCTGAAGTAGGACTACAGTGTAGTCACTAAGAGTATTTGCTTTGATTGCTTCCAAGGCCCAGAGTTGATAAGTCTCAGCCTTTACTGAGATTCTTTGATTTAATACAAAGCCTTATAAAATACTTATAGCAATTACATTTCAATAAACACTCTCAAAGGCTTTTATTTTAACTGTGTTTAGGAAAAGAATCATGGGAAACAATGTCTATCTTAGAAATGAAATGAACCTCTTTGTGGGCATAAGTCTGTATTGAGTTCAGGCAGCTGTGTGTCTGTATATGTTCAGCCTTTTCTCAGACTGCATTGTAGCAACACTAGTCTGTTAGATTCAAATTGCTCTGAAGTTTTATATCTTTTATGAGATTAACAAGCCGTCACCTCACAAAATCTGTACTCTCAGTATGAACCACTCTTTGTTCTATGAATGTGGGCAAAACATGTTATTTTTTAAAAGCTCATATTTTCCAGATTAATCTGCAATAAAAGCCTATTGAAGGTAGACTGATTGTAAGCAAGTGCAGCTTCATCACCAAGTACGTTCACTTTTATCTGTTTTTATAATTTTTACTTGTTTTCAGGGACAGCATCTTAACCTGCTCGAGTACCATGTACCAAGAAGTCAGGGATGCTTAGCAGAGCTCTTCAGAGTCTTAGAGAATCACAAAGTTTTTCTCCAAATCAAACACTACTCCATTAGCCAAACCACATTAGAGCAGGTATTTTATAATTTCTCGTTCCTTTCTTTCCCATGTTTTTTTTTTTTTTTTTTTTTTTTTTTTTTTTTGTCTAAATGTGCTGCATATTGTAGTTATTGATGTAGTAGAATGTTCTATAATTTGCTGGGTCACTTGAATGTATGTGATACTCCAGCAGTTCCAGGCCATCTCAGGTCCCACACTGCTTTTGTGCTGGAGGTGAGCACAGCAAAAGCATCACAGCAAGCCACACACTTGTAGTGTGCACAAACATAATCTGTGCTTAGATGAATCTGGAGCTGTGTGGGACGACAAGATAGCACTGTGAACTGCCATCCCCACAGTCCAAAAGTTGGGATCTTACCAATGTCCTTGAAAAGGCTGAACCAGTCTCTGTAAATCGTGGTAAACCTTAGACTTTCAGAACATTTTCCCATGAGAATTTTAAATGCACAAACAGACAGAAGAGACCCAACTGCTAAAGACCATGAAATCCTATTGTGAGAAAAAGAGGAACATGTTGATGGCAAGCATGGGATTTCTGGGTGATTGTGATGTGTTACATCATCTTCATATGCAACTGCTTGTTATTCATTGTGCAAACTGAGAGGCACATCTAGTCAAAATATTAATTTTCTGTGATTGATGGTGTGAATTTGCTCTTTTTTCCCATGTGCAAATCATTATTGAAGTATTCTCCTCTGTGCTGGTCTACTAACTACTTGTAAATGATCTATTCACTGAGTGACTGCATATAAGATAATTTCAGCCTGTTTCTTCAGGCATTGTTCACTCAGATTTACTTCCTTTCCATTTTTCATGTTGATGCATCACCTCAGTCACCTACCACCACTTCCTCTCTCTGACTGTCAGTTTTAAACAGGAAAACAGTTCTTCACAGCAACAAACACACTTTAAATGCACCCCAAGTTTGCTTGCATATGAAGAGGATCATTTGAATAAAAAAGAGCCATTTTTCCCTCCACATGCCACTGTGAAATACTTGTGTGGTTAAAAATGAAACAAGCCTTTATGTAGGAAGATCTGTGTTTAAAAAACCCAAACCAATTCAAGGAGGCACATTCGTTTTTGAATCAAAAGTGTGCTTTCACCTTGAAATATTTGCACCCTCATTTGTAATATATTATTGGCAGAAACAACTGACTCAGATTCTTTAGGTATGTCATTCAAAGACAATTAAAACCATTGTTTCATATTTACTTGTGCATAAAATGCATTTTTCATTTCCTGGTAAATTATTTTACCATAATTTTTATCATTTATCAGCCCCTGTCTTAGCTGGAGAGGGGAAGAGGGATTATTTCTAGAGTTTATAAAACATGTTTTTAGAGGTGTTCCCTCAACATGAGTTATTAATTATTTTGTCAAAAAAGCTAAGGAGAGCAGCTAAGAAATGCCATCACCTATATCCCCAAAGTCTGAATTCAAGTACTTTTATTTTGAAAATAGTACTTTTTTTCATGTCTTACAGGTATTCATTAATTTTGCAACTCAGCAACAAGGAGTCTCGCATTCTTCACAAGGATCCCCTGTTCTTCATCATGATCATCTCCCAGTCTAGACTCAGAACAGGATACAGCTTCAACATATATGTGTGTGTGTGTGTTTGCATATATGTACACAAAGCTACATGCAATAACTTTTCAACAGTGAACAATTTGTGTATGAGAAGCAAATAGTAGAAGCAGAGGTGAGTTTTCATCTGTAGGCCAGAAGGAATGATACCAGTTTTTGGTTAAGCAAGAAACTGATTATGTGAACCAAAAAATCCACCAAAAAAGTAAAGTTTTCTTAATTTAACTGGAATTTTAAAATACAAATGGCATATTTAATGCAGAAAAAAAAGAAGGCTGATCTGAAATGGCTGATCTGAAACGTCAGTGTATAGCAGATTTTTTTGGTGGTAGCTCTGCATTCGACTATAGTACTTTCTTGCATGCATACTTAATATCGAATTTTTACATGATAAGACAAGAAAAAACATTTGAATGGTAGCAATAGCTTCGCTACCATCCAGTATTTTTATTTAATCACATAAATTGAGAGCCTTTCAATTTCTCTGTTATTTCAGTTCTGTGTTGTGACAAGCTAAATTAACCTTTTTTATTGTATAAAGGGTGCACTCTATTCCATAAGGCTTCATGTTAAAGAGGTTATTAGTGTACTAGCCTAGTCTGCCTCCCAGTTATTTTAAGTAAATTTAACAAATTTTCATAAATCATGAAAATCATGTCATGACTTGACAATGAGCCTAAGCCTGCAGGTTGCTGCTGGAAGTATTCTCAAGTACCTTTTTAATGACTTAGCTTGTTTTTCTCATCTTTTTGTTTCCTTTTTCTTCAAAAAGAATGTCAAAATGCTGTTTAATGGGAACACTAAAGGACAATAAGATAAAAATTCAGACTGCGATCAATAAATTTCTTAATAAATATATTATGATGCTAGATACTTCAGACAAGGCCACAGTCTTCAGCCTGTATTTGTGTAAAATAAATGAACATTTAATGGATGAAAACTCCTTGTGTATTGTGCTTGGAGAAAAAAGTGTGAATTTTTTTGGTAGTAATTTTCTGCCTCATCCAAAACAAATCTTTGAAGCTTCTATGAAATTAGCTCATGCCATGTTATTGGACTACACTGCCAAATAGCTGAAACCAGTGACTTAGAAGTTATTTGCTGCAATATGATTTTGGGTGGGCAGTGGTGAGGGAAGTTCACTTTGAGATGGGAGTATTTGATTTTAAGTGGCCAATATTGCAGAGCTGCTGCTATAATCCCCTGCTGTACAATGATAAAATATTAAAAAAAAATAAATAGTGTTTTATGCTTTGCAAGCTGACTCAGAAGACTGTTTATTGAGTTCATGTTTCTTTGGCCCATTATGCTTTTTTAAAATCAGGAATTCAGGTTACCTATTTAAAAAGATGAAGTTACGTCCTTGAAAAATAAATAAATAAAATAAGTAAAACCCCAAAGCAGACAGGCTTTGTCTGCATGTGCATATGGGTCAGAGTGAGCTTATGAAAGTGCTTTATCATTACAATGGATTGGTAAAAGGTCAGAACTCTGCCAAGCTACTCAGGACCCAAAGCACCTAGGAACTGCTAAACCCCAACAGACACCACCCTGGTAGAAGCCCCATAGCACAATGGGATGTCCATATTTGATGTGGAAACAGTTATCTTTAATTTCTTCATGAGGCTGGGAGTGGAAGGTTTCTAAGGTGACCAATTAGAACAAAAACCAGTCAATTTTACAAAGCAGAGTGTGAGAGAAGTAGTGGACATGAAGGGAAAAAGAAGGCAGATGCAGGAATTTTTGGGCACAAATAGAAATATGGCATCATTGAAGTAGCCTGCTTAATTTCAGCACCTCAGGATGGAAGAAACTGGGCATTCAAGGAACAGCCAAGGATCTCTTAGTCATAGTCTGAAACCACTCAACAGAACATTTCTGTAGCTCTTAACTGAAAAAAGTAGAAGGGAAAGTATGGCAGTCACATGAACAGGGCTTTTGGCTTTTTTATTTTATTTTTGTGGGTGTGTCTAGACTTGTAGACCACTGATATTATTACTGATTGATTTGCTTTGGGTTTTATTTTTGTTTTTATAAACTAATAACTCTGTCTCAACCATCACAAGTCCTTAAAAAATGATGAAATGTACTCAAGGAAGTTTAAGGATTTAGGAAAGTAGATGGTTCCAATCCTTGCAGTGTGAGGCAGCTGAGCCAAAATATGTGATTTGTATGAAATTGTGGAAAGAGCACTTTTTCCTGCTGAGGAAGGGTGTCAAGCAGTTGAATTAATAAAACAGTCCTGCAGTTTTCTTTGACCAAGGGAAGCATAAAAGCACAAGACTCACTGTGGTGAGACTGAAAAATGATAGCCTAGCTGAATGCTCAGATAGGGGAGCTTCTTCAAGTCTTAGCTGTGTAACACTAATTAAATGTCACTTTTTTTCTGATTAAAATATGAAAGATTATATTAGTTTAATAGATGAATACAGTAAATAAGGTTTGCTTCAGACTGGTGGTTGAGTAAATTCAGTTAACAGTGTTTTTCTTTTTTTAAATTACTTCATATGCATCTCAGGAGACCCAATTTAATTCAGGCAAGTAGCAAACAATGTCTGTCTACCAATCCTTTATGGGTAAAGAAGGTCAAAATCTAATTGAGTGCCAGTGTACCGGGTTCTGTCTCAGAGGCTATTTTCCCTTTCTTTAACTTGTGGCACTCCTAATGTATGCAAGCTTTAACAAAAGTATTTTGAAGATTTTTGGTTTATTCATTTATTTATTTATCAAAATAAATCACTAAACTAGGAGTCTGGACAGAAAAGGTCAATTATACATTAATGATGAAAGAATCATTGAATTCATAATTCATGAAGAAATATCTCTTAACGCCTCTGGATTTGGAATCAAACACAGCGGAGGATTTTAACAATACTTCTCTTGTGTGATTCTTGTTAGGAAAGTTTCATTTTATTTCAGCTGGAAATTTCTCTGACTGTGAAAGCAAGCTCTTCATCCTGAACAATAAACTAGAATTAAGCTCAAAGTTATAAAATCAGCTGAATATATAAAATGCTCAATAGTAAAACTGGGAAGATGATAATCATACTTTTAAGGGACTATTCCACAGCCCAAGTCAAAAGAAGGCTTTGGCCAACCTTTGAGCAGATTGCTTCAGGCCCTCTTTTTATTTTCATGCAGTAATAGAATGATGTGACCAAAAACAAACAGTAGGTCTGAACTTTAACTCAAAGTATCACAAATTCAGTGGGGGTGGAAGGGTGATAGTATTAGTGGACAGGATGTCAAAACTCACAAATTACCTCTTTGAATATGGCTGCATTTTAAATTTCTGTGCAGATTTTTTTTCTTCTGGAAAGAAAGAACTTATTTCTCTGGTTTGGTTCAGTCGTGACCACGGATGATAAATTTTGCCCACGGTAGTGAAAGACGTATAACATGATTTTCAGGAAAGGAATTGGGTGCCTTTTGAACTTGCTTGTCCTTGTGAAATTTGAATCACTGAGGTCTGAAATCACATAAATTTGGAAGCAGAATCGAGCTGTTCCTGGAACTGCTCAACTTCTAGATCTGTCTAAAACCAATTTAGGTAAGGATATTGCTTTCCTGGTCTTTTTGTAGTAAGTAGTAAAGCTGACACTTTCTTTGATTCAGTTTAATATGATCTAATCTTTTTATGTCAGCACTTTCAATTTTTCTTTCTTAGGGAGATCAAAGCTAGCAGTGAAAAGATCTTACTTACAGTGATTGAGAGCTGACTAGCTCAGACCAACAACAGCTAAAGAGAAAATGCTTCCTGAGTTGTGTATTAAATCCTTACATTACAAATAGAACTGATGCTGTTGCAGGTGCAATACGAGTGGGCAGCAGGTACAGAGCAGAAATCACAGCTGTCTCATTCTTGCACAGAAAGCAGACATCTGCTGCTATCAATGGGCCAGGTTCTGCTGAATGTTTTAGCAGATGAGTTCTCCATGCTGAATAATGATACAGGTCACTGAAACAAATCAAAGCATCTTTCTTCTTTATTAAATTTTTCTATCACATACTAATATTGTTCCAGCAGTGCTCTCATGCTTATTGCTACATGGAGCTATGTGCTGGGATAAATTCTGACTCCTTTCACAATGGCGCTGTAAAAGCCTTGATCAGAGTCTGCACTGTAGAGGTATATGCACATCTTTAGCTTAGGCTGGTTCATATCTGCTTTCTATGATATACAAGTGGAGAAAGAGGAACTATAAGCTATATAAGCAAAAGCCAATAGGTGAGATTTCCATGTGCATCTGATTTACTCCAGCTATAGAACACCACACACACATAACTTTGCTGCCTGTGCATGCCATGGGCAGTTTAAAGAAGTGCCTAGGGGTTAATGGGCTATGAGGTGCCCAGCAGAGAAATGTAGGATCCTCTAACGTGCAGTGGTATAAGGTAAAATCAATCAGGAATCTTTTAACCCACTTATTGAGGCAGTAAATGCTGTTTAATAGCAAAGTGTAATGCATGTAATTTGAGAAAAGTATCAGAAACACTTTTGTCCTTAGCGTGTGCTGAAACAGGGAAATGCAAACTTTATTCCATGTATCATTTTTGCATCATTCTTAATTCCTGTTCTACTTATGTTACTGTATGCAATTACCACACCCCCAAAAACCTTCAGTGCTTCCCTCAGACTAATATATTTTGAAATGTGATTCAACTTCCACAAAATGTGAAAGCTTGTGGAGTTTTTTTACCTTAGATTTTATTGAGAAGATGTCTTATTCTTAAGACTTACATAATTATAGCTGAGTGTGTGAGTGAAGGAGCATGTGACATTTATGCTGAAACTAATGGAATATGCATGTAATGCTCAAGCTGAGGAGTTGTAGTCACCTGATACTTTGTAGCTAATTGTAGATAATTGTCTAATAAGAAGAACTTGAAATTGTTTTCTTAGAAGTCTGCTATCATAAATAATTGTGTTAGCAAATTGTGAATACAAAACAGATTGAATCTAGCTAAAAGAGTATTCTCAGGATGGGAAAGGTAAGAATCAAGGTCATACATAGCGTGTTGAAGTGTTGTATTGTTGGGGTTTATTTTCCCTGTCAAAGTTAACTAAGTGATTAGAAGTGGCACTTGTCAGTGTCCAGCAACACGCTGAAAATGCTTATTTGTGGCCCAGAGCTGACTTTGTTTACACGCTGATCAACTAGTAGTCTCTTTTTTTTTTACTACCTACATGTTGTAGACAAAATGGCAATTAAATTTAATGCAAAAAATTATGTTCTGGGGTCTTTGCGAGCTGTGCAATTAAAAATAGATTTTCTGGGTGTCCAGCAACTGGGTACAATAGAAGCATTTAAGTATTTATATATATATAAAATGCTAAGTAAATTTTGAGAAGAGTCTTTGCAGAAATGTTTGAGAATATTAAGTTTTTCTTTGCATATACTATATAGATTTCTACTTAAAATCTAAGTGAAAATAAAGGTGTCCATAATTATATGCTTCTAATGGTGAAATGGATAGATTTAGCTTTAACCCACAACCTTGAGCTGGGAAAAGTGGGGTCTACTATATAGAATCCCACTCTTCCCATAGCAGAAGATCTACTATGTGTCTGAATTCAGGGATGGAGACTGACAGCAGACTCTGTAACTCTGTACCTGGAGGATGCATGTCTCTACAAAGTGTGAAGAGCCCTCTTTTTAACCACATCAAGGTATTGACTCTAGGAAGAACTGAAACATTTCTTGTTGCAAGACTTGCTTCCTTATAAATACCTGTTCCTGCACACACATACATCCCATCTATATGTAGCAGAGAAACTGCCACAAGTTTTCAGGAAGGATGAGATTTTTTTCTGTACCAAGGTTCCATTTGCTATGAATTTGCTCAAGATTGTTCTTCTTTTAGTAGATTTTAGTGTTCTTAGTTATCAACCAGTGTTTTCAGTCTTTGGCTTTTACCCCATGTTGTGAAGTGACAGCTGACTTCATGGTTTTTTGATACTGTGTCTTAAACAGGTCTTTAAATAGACCCCAGCTGAAAAAGCTTCAGCATCTGAGGAAAGTGTTTCCCTTGGTAGAAGTTTTGCCTTTTGCTTACTATATTGGTTGCCAGATCTTGGATGTGAAAAGCTTCCCCAACATTGTCACTTTAGGGAAGAGTTGTGACTTTTTCTGTTTCACTTCTGCTAAATTATCAGAGCA